TCTAGGACGTCCAGGTGGCAGCTTTATTGCGAAGAAATTGATTTTTTTTATAATAGATGTCGCTAGGTGCGCTTAAATGTGATTCATGTAAGTTGATTTTTCTGAGAGATAAACTTTTTAATGTAATATGAATTGTCATGTTTGTGTACGATAGCGCAAAAAAAATTGTATTCTACCACATAAATTATAGTACTTTTATACTGATAATTAAAGCAATTCGTTCCAATGTATTCTCTAACCATTCCAAAATATCAAAAATGCACAATGTTAATATTCATGTTTTCACATCTGCCGGCACTCACGGAGTGCAATCCGTCGTTATTTTTTCTATTTTTGTGTAAAAATCTTAATGCAGTTCACAGAATACATCTACTCACCAAGTTTCAACAGTATAGTTCTTATAATTTCGGATGAAAGTGGCTGCGGCATACGGACAGGCAGACAGACAGACAGATTTTCTTTATACTTTTTTCCGTAAGAACCTTGTACAGAGTATTAGAAAACTACAAAAAAAATATCAGCCAAATCGGTCAAGGCGTTTTCATGTTATGTCGGGACTACGGAAAACGGGTTTCATTTTTATATATATAGATAACTTATCCCTTCAGGGAAAATGACTGACCTTGAACCTTACTGCAGAGCTTATGACACTTCTGCCACTTGTCCCACCGCCCAGGATAAACGAGAAGCGAGTAGAACTAGAAACTAGAAACGAGTTTGGCTTGCAACGGCGAGTGTGTAGTTCCGAAAGATTTATCGCAGGGCTATAAGCGCTCGCGGTCCAGAAAAATTCATGTGCACGCGTTTGGATGGCCAAGGGAGTGTCGCCGAGCGAGTTTTATTATTAATAACTCTTATCGCTGAGCGAGAAACTAGTTCTCGTCTGTAGTGTCAGTCAGCGATCAAGTATTAAGAGATGCATCTCTTTTGTTTACAAGGAATTTACTTTTGTATGTTTCTTGAGCGAGAAAAAAGTTGATAATAATTTCAATTTGCAACCATTACGGTAGAATTTTATTATTCCAGGAAAAGAGGTAAGTTTCAAACAAAGTCGTTATCAGCGCTGGTGGTAAGGCCCGCTGATGTATACTTACTTTGCACTTAAATTGGAGTGCTTGCTCAAATGGGGATATAGAGATATAAGTACTTAGTATATACTGTAAAATCTTCTGTACGATGATTAACCAAATTTTATTAGATTAGAATCTATTCTAAAAGAATGAAATCTCAAGTACATCAAGATGTTTTTTAGTAAAATATTCTTTACATATAAAAATCTGATTTTTTATCACATCTTGAATAAATACGACCTCAAATGTCACAGGCTATAGAAGCGGTACGTAGATGATACTTTCACAATCCTCCCAAACAGATCAAATATCTGCCTTTTTAAATCACCTTAACTCTATACACCCCAACATCCCATTCACTATGGGTTAGAGGCAGATAGTAAACTAGCTTTTCTAGATATTTTATTAATCAGGAATCCTGACCAAAGTGTGGTATAATTTAATAAGCTCCATCTCAAGTAAGCTCCTTGAGCTGCACATACAAATTTATCGTTTCCCGCAACCTCTTTAATGCGTGTCAAAAATCACCAGTCAAGCTACCGTGTAGCGTCTACAGACACGCAGCCTGATTATTTATTACGATAGATCAAATACAAATTTCGGAGGGTTATGCTAGCGCTTTTAGTATCAAAGTCACCCAAAGCTTCGTCGTGCAGGTGTGGGAGAAGTATATGGAAGTAGATATACCACAGACAGATTTATGTACCAGATGTCACATAATGCGTGAACCTCCGCGCACCATAACGCGCTAAATTCAAATTGAGAACGGAGACTACGCCTTTTGCAGTGGAATTGTCGAGGCTGCACTACTATAATCTATGTAACTACGAGTACATTCCATTGATTAATAATACTCTACGCTTTAATCCCCGTAATCAGGTAAGTTTTGTATATAACTATAAGAAAACTTTTAATAGGAATTGGATACTGATAGTAATGTTGTTATTTTAGATTGTAATTTGATTGTTTATTTGTTTTATGTTATATCGTTCAAAATATTAATCAAAGATCAAATCGTTCAAATTGGAGCGCAGGCTTCGATCAACAATAGGGGTGTAGCTAACATAACCTTTATTTGATGATATCAAAACCAACCAGTTACAAATGGTATAGCCAAGGAGACTGTATTACAAGTTCATACATACTATAATGCGAAAAGTCATTACCCCCAACGCATTTACAAAAACATTACCTTTTGATGTGTTGTATAGAATAGAATTGTTGATCGAAGAGCGCAGGCTTGGGAAGTTAACCTTACAGTAGTACACCTATTCGTATTAGGTTGGGAAAAGGTTTCTTCGCATTTTATATGAAAATTCTAAACATTTTTTAATAAAGTTTATTTACATTTAACTAAAGTATGCCATTTTGTTCGATAACTTTTTGCCATCTTGTAGGTAGGGACATAATCTCATTGCTATAGAAATTTTAGGCTCCTGATCCAAACACCACGACAAGTGGTTTCGGCAGTCCTCTCGTGATGTTGACCGGACACTGCCAAAAGAATTTTGAAGACACCGAAACAGGTGGAAATCTGAAGGTCAGGACTATACTGCGAATGAATTAACGCCTCCCGGTCAAAATCTTTTAATTTTTGCTGAGTGGCTAAAGATGCATGAGGTCTAGCGTTATCACGACGAAAAACTACACCCCATCTGTTGATTAATTTCTCACTTTAAATCTCATCAGTTACTCACTATCGTCCTGCCTGGTGGTCATAATAAATAATGCCCTTCCAGTCCCACCATACACACAACGTCACCTTATTGCGAGTTAAACCGAGTATCTTCTTTAAAATTTAAACATTTTGATGATATCAAAACCAGCCAGATACAAATGGTAAAGCCAAAGAGACTTTCTTACAAGTTCATACATACTATAATGCGAAAAGACATTTCCACCAACGTATTTATAAAAACATTGCATTTTGATGTGTTGTATTCCTGTCGAGGAGTTCGATGATGCAGGTAGTTAGCGCATTCGGCCTGCGATCGTAGAAGTTAAACAACATTCGCAATGGTCGGTCATTAGATTGGTGACCAAAAACTTATTAACACGTTAAGCCGTTGGACCTGGCTGCCTTTTTAATCATTAGCACCCACTAGTCCGCATTGGGCCCGCGTTGTGAGGTAGGAGGCCCGCGCCCCAGCAGTGGGGGCATTTATAGGCGAATGATGATGATGGTTTTATTCAATTAATATGGTTTCCAGAGTTCAACAGGGTAAAAGATAGGGTCAAGGTAGGCGACTTGTGAGTTGTATTCTGGTGTCGGAAGTGTTTTTCGGTTATAGCAACTGCTTAAATCAGGTGAGACAACCTAGCGGCCTAGCTGCCTAGCTAGCTGGGACACAGCCCCGATGTGATTTGGTAGGTAGGATAGTTTTTGATACAATAAGGAGATATTGAGACGGATAGGGAGGGTAAGGGGCACTTCGCTCTGGACCCAATCCGTACTGGGCCCAATCAGCACTGGGCCCAGTGCGGATAATTGGGTGGCACATAAATATTTTTTAGTTTGTTCCAACCGTCTGTTCCACCACACTCACACATTATTTTTAAGCATGAAACAGCAATATTTATGCATACCAGAAAAAAAAATACAAGGATATATCTTGTTTATCATGCTTATTACAAATAAAACCTGCTGCTATCGGAACCGAAGTTTAACACACACCCAAATGGTCAGTAGGTATTGTGTCTAATACAATGGTTATACATAAGTTATCAAGAAAAAAATTAGGTGTTTTGTGAATTAATTACAGTTTAAATCCAATTACATTGATGAAATCTCTTGATTATTCGAATAACTTTTCTAACTATATTATTTATATTAACTAATACGTAACTTTTTACTTTATGGAATTAGTTAAAGTACTCACTAAATTTTTTATTGTACTTGCTTACATTTTAGAATAAACATAATATAGGTACAGTAAATGAAAAATACGAAATACTTATAAATTCTTTATTTAATGCTATTATTTACATTCATAATGTTCATGGCGGATAATTTACAATTATCTTAAATTAACATCTACCTTATTTCATATCAATAAGGTTGTTTGTGGATCACTCGAATATTTACACAACATTTCCCCTAAAACTAAATAACGCTTACAAACAATTTACTTTAGCAAAGAACGGAGATGAAATTTTGATAATATTAAGTCTTAAACTAACAACATTGGCTAATGAGGAGGCCTTTCAGAATAATAAAGAAGAAACTTTAATAGATTTGAAGTAAAATTCTTTCCCTTTTTCTTCAAAATAACATTAAATTATTGTTTAGATTGGACAAAGGTTAAACACAATCGGTGATATCAAAGCAAAAATAAACATAAACGAACCATTCTAAATTAATAAATTTAAGCTTTGCATTTTATTTCAAAACACTTAACACCCACACTCAGAGACGTCATTCAAAAGTGATTTATTTACACGATTGCACAAAAAAGAGTTTTACACTTGTTGTCGAAAGCCGATTTTATATTTACGTAATTTCCGTCGCCAAAGTCATTTTTGGCAAATGTATTTTCATCATTTTGAAACTCTCAACGTCAATGTTATCGATAAAATATATTTTTATGAGACAAAATATAAGGTCCACAATGTCACATTGTAGGTGACATTGTGGATTACCTACAATGCGAAGAGATGGCGCTGCCTTGCAACTTAAGAATGGCTAGAAGAATTTCGACGCGGCCATAAAGGCCCGCGGTAGGATAATTGGTCAGTGCATTCGCCCGCATAGCGAATGGGGGGGGGGGGGTTCGAGCGGACCAGGTAGCAGACGGGCCTCGAACCCGCACCCTTCGTTATCCGGGCGAATGGACTGACCATTTTGCTACCGCTGCCCTAACCCTGGTTCTAGAATGCGAAGAGATGGCGCTGTCTTGCAACAAAGGCTAGAGAAAAATCGACACGTCCGTCAGGGCAGCGGTAGCAAAATGGTCAGTGCATTCGCCCGGATAGCGTAGGGTGCTGGTTCGAGTCCCGTCTGCTGCCTGGTCCGCGTGGATTTTTTTTCTTAAAAATGTTTCTTTAGATTTAAACATCTAGCAGTTTTATCTTAAAAAATAACAAATATAACATTAGCTTAAATAAAAATTAAAACTATGTAGACGTATCTGAGAGCAGTTGCTTGTCTTTTTTCACACTCTTCATAACTTTTGTTTTAATATTTATAAATAAAAACAGTTGCTATATCTTACACTCTATGTTTTATTTTCCCATATCTATTTCTAAAACTTGTTCACCTATATGTTTCATTATTTACAAGTTAACTCTATTTATACATGATTATTTGATATGCCTCTTTATGATTATTATGTTGTCGTTATGTTTATTATGTGTAAGATATATTCGTTGGCTAAAAAGTAGTGTTGTGTGAATTAACCTTTTAGTATACGCAGTTCTATGTTATTGTGTTTGGAACACGTCTTCATCCGGTCTCTGATTAGCTTGTATTGTATGTTGAGAAAGCTAAAGGGTTAATTACCATGGAAACTATACGCCGTGGCCATAAGATACTTGAGGGATTAGCTTCCTTAGTGTGTTATGAGAAGAACATGTTAATTAAAGTGAACGTTTTGTAAACAGTGTTTTGAACGAAGTTCCCTTTTTGTTTCGTTTACATGAATGCGGTGAATACGCGTTCCTAACACAGAAGTTTGAAGAACACACCCTCAATGGTAATCACGGCACAAACTTATATTCGGTTTATGAGAAAACTTTTTTCTATACTTATATGTATATTGTTAAATCTTCTGATACACACTTTTATGGATTCGGAACACTCCGTAAACATGGAAAGCTCAAGTCGTGCGTTAATACGTTATGTAACAATAAAATTCTTAAGAGTTACAATCAGGCTGCTTTTCCATTGGTGCGAAATGGAAAACTCTGCTAATGGAATCACTTCATTACTGCCTATTCACACATTGATAAATCATTTTCCTCGAGTTGTGGTCCAAAAATATTTCTATACGCTCGTGAAATACAAAAAAAATACGGTTTGTAAACGTATACATGATTTTGAATGAATGTTAATAATGAAATTTACATTGAATAAAATTCCTATAAAATACGACGCTGCGTAGGTGCAAGTTTATACAATTACACGAAAGTGTAATTATTTATATAAAGGTGAGTACAGACAAGGGCATACGAGCATTTAGCACGACGCTTAATAGTTTGACCTTTCAAAGAAAAGTTTACACAAAATAGAAAAGGAAATTACAAGTAAAGCCTTACTTTCCATGAGCATTATGACGAAAACAGCGCAGCATTTTAAACGTGTTATATTAGGGTAAAGTAGGAGAGAGTGTAACAAGGGACACAGTGTAACACAAGGAATATCTCTGGCCTTTTCTTTTTTTTCGATGGTCTGTCTTGGCGTGTTTTATTAGTTTCAAATGCTGCCATCATAAACAACTATCGTTAGATGTCTAATGGCCAGGTATAATAGAGAGATATTGATTATGTTACACTGCGTGCTTTGTTACACTATCTCCCACTTGACTCTACATGTAAATGCTCTATTTAATTAACTTTTATTTGTATCGTACTATTCGCAATAACGTTGCATTATATGGAAAAATAATTTTGCATATACTTCTCTTAATGACACGCACGAATAAGTTTTCAAAAGCGTAACTTTTATAATGTGTCATGGGAATTAAGTGAACGGAGTAAGTTTTTTTTAATTCGATACATAATATAGCGCTGGTGGAAGTGCAGCCTATTAATCATAACATATTATTTACATACGTCAAGCCCCATTAATGTTGCGCCAATAATAAAAACATTTTAACTGCATACCTTAAATTAAATATATATAAGCATGTGAGTATTAAATATGTCTAAAGATGTAGATAGGTAAATATAGGTATATATATTAGGAGATTCCAAGATTTGGAATATCTCCGATTTCCTAATACGACGCAATCGAAATACCGTGAACACAATGTTACTGAAAATAATGGTGTCATTTCTTTGGTTTGTTCTAATATTCACAATCGATTGAGAAAATTCTAATCTTATGTGTCGATTGTATTCCACTGATTGGCAGAGATTCCATGCAATTGGAGTTAATATAGTATTATGCAATGAAGTAGGTAGCATTAAGACATTTAATTTTATTAAAGATACTGAAAGCCCTAAATTTGTATTTAAAAGTGAAACCCACGAATGGCACTGACCAGTATACAATTGCTTATAGGCTTTTGGAATTGGTAACCAGTAATGATAGGGAAATGAAGTTGCATTTTCTAATTCAACGAAAAACGAAATTTCAAGCGAAACTTCACACATTTCTTACTATGTTTCTTATTCGTTATAGTTATATTTGTTCACCCGAAAATAGATTGAAGTTTAGATTCTATAAGCGTACTCAATGAAAAATTAAGATAGTTTATAGTTCAAATTATAATCTCAAATTGAGGAAAATAAATTTCATTAATACTTCGTTAGCTATAGAAAGTTCGTTTCGGAGAAAGAGGGTCGAACTCCAGACCGGCTTAAAGCTTATTTACTACTCTAAATTACAATAAAACTTTACTTTGTCTGTTTTCTTGGTTTCTATTTTAAGCTGTCAATCAGCGATTTTGTAGTGAGTGGCAACCTAACGAGGTTTGAAAATGGCACACAAGTCTGTCTAAATACAGCCGCCGCTAAGCCATAACGATTATAGCATTATCTGCTGCCGCGAGCGGTTGTCGTCCTATTTTTTGGAGTGCAGTTAACGCTACCGGCACCTTACCAAAAAGCGGTTTCAGGTCGAATAAATGGAACGGCATAACGTGTTGATCCGTTACAGTACAGAATACTTTGAATTTTATACAAAGAATACAAAACAGCCCGAGTAGACCGCGCCGGTACCGCTTTATGTGTAACCTAACCTTTATAAACAAACTCAACATGTGAAAGTTGATGCGTACTCGAATTTACTCGATGAAATTTAATTAAACAAGGGAGCGAAAATTGTATGTTAGTATACGGTATATTTTTGTCTGAAGATACTTATAATCGGTTTGACTTACACCCAAATCCATCCGCAAACGAATACCCAAGTGAACACGGTTTATTTATTGTTCTCAAGAATAATAAACTTATTTCAATATCGATGAAAGTTGTAGGCACATAGGTTGGCAAGGAAAAAAAATATGAGTAGAATGAGGCGTCATAGGAAAAATACGGAACAACCCTATAAAGCATTTAGTACTCGATTTCACAATATTTTATTCCGTAGGTAACATTAGGAGTACATAACATTTACAATTATTTATTAAAACATTTTGTTCGTTATGTAAGTGCCTAGTCTGATTCGATTACCTATCTACATCCATTAAATTATATTTATAAAATAAAACATAATAACAATTTTTACAACATTACGCTAAATTGACATGGATGATAATCAAGAAACAAACACCTTGATCACGATAACTCATCATCTTAAAACATGTGACAGTAATATAACTTCAAACCTATTTAGTGTGAATAGTAGAGATTGGAAACTACTAACAATTATATATTTTAAATATGGCAATACTGACAAGAAAATAAGTACGGACAGAGTAAACGCTTGGTGGCTGCGACACGCCGCAGATTCGGCAGTCGGTAACCAGTTGTTGTCAAGCACTGACTGTTCAATAACATTTTGCATGGTATCTAGAAAAGAAAGAAGATGTTTTCATGGTCACTAACATTATAGTAATATAAGTTATTTACGGTATTGTAACTTCATGATTTTATTGTTTGATGTCGCTAGTAATTTTTCGCCTGTATTTAATTTTGTATTTTGTCACAGTTAGGTATATCATAATGAAATTGCAACTTACCATAAGTAGTAACGTCAGGCGTGTAAAATTTTTGCTCAGCTGGCTGAAGTGGCACTACAAATCCTAAAACAATGAAATAATGTTAGGAGCATACTTTAGTTAGGTTGTGAAGGTAAGGTGAAGTATCATTTTTAATGGTTTGACTAAAAAAAGAATTAGAACCAGGAACTCAAAAATTGAGGACAGCACATAGTCCAGTTTCGAGATGATTATGAAATAAAGGAAATAAATTAATAATAGTAAATATTTATTTAAGACTTAAAAAATCAAACGTAATCTTATTCTAGTGTTAGTAAATGAAAAACGTACACACATAATAAGCTCCTTAAAAGATAATAATATTTAATACCTACATTCATTCATTTCTGTTTGTGTAAACATACACTTAGATGAATTCTAGCAAAGAGATGCTTAATATAAAGTTATACGTAGTGTAAATTTTGGTCCGAACCAACATAAAAGTCGAAAGATATTCTTAACTAAGAATATTACCAGTAAGTGAACAAATAATGAATAAAACGTCGAGCAAATTAATGTTTGCCTTTGTTAGAATTTATTATAAAAGAAATAATTATTTTTAATAGGCATTAAAAATCAAATATAATTAAAGACGTAATTTTTTGAGACGTTATTAAAGTCACGAACTCCATAATTATTATGGTGTCATAAAAAATTGGATTAATTTAGTTGAAAAAAGTATAAATTGTAAAAATAAGAAACCGGAAACACGGACCTCGAATAATAACTACAGCGAACCTATAACTTAGGACCGATTTACACCGAAATAGCAGTGTCGCGGCTAGTTCTGTCTTATTAAGAGCCCTTTCACATTTTTTGCAAAAAATCGTAATTTTTGAGCGCCTTGTTTACCCCCTTAGAAAAGATTTTGACTATTTCTAATAGAAGTAAACAGTAGATTTATTCTTCCTATTGTAAGTTAATGTATAATATTTGCAAATACTTTTTTCCCTTTTTTCTACTGATCGTTCTACTGCAGCTAGTTTGCGTAAAAAACGATAATATGCACAAATTCAAACGCCTTAATCTCTCAATAATGTTCAATAAATTAGATGAAAATAAATAATAAATTATTAGATTAGACGACATCAGAAATATGTTTTTGTTGTAAAATAATGTATTAGAATTTTGATTTTCTATCTCATTAATTATCAAAAAAAATATCTAACCTCAGTGAGGTTTCCCAAAAAATAATGCAGGTTTACCTCGTATTTTGATATTGAATTAAATAGAATTACTATCAAAAACTTTCATAAAACTAATCTACCATCATTGAACTACTGAAATATGTATATATTTTTATAATTAGTCCATTAATAATTATTTTATAAGACTCGAAACATTACCCGTAAAATGCAATATATACTAGTGCAAATCTACGTACGCGCCGATCAGTATGGCAGCGGCGCAATTTTATAAAAGGGCTCTTAACAGCAGTGTGAAATAATTATTAAACTTTACCTACAATACCTACATACTTAAAAGATGATCGTCCGCACACGACACCACGGATTATTTTTCCATACCGTTTCGGAGGGCGTGATCTAGTCCTTAGATTATGAAATACTTTTGTGTACTCACTGGGCGGAAAATACTCGGTGGTGGTAGGAGGTGGTGTTGTTGTGGTCGTTGTCGTTGTAGTAGTAGTTGTTGTTGTAGTAGTTGTTGTCGTCGTCGTTGTAGTAATTTTGATTTCTGTTATAAAAAGTGATCAATATATAAAAATGTCCACAACATAATATATAGAACATTTATGTATAATATATATAAATCTTCTATATATTGCACGTGCTTCGCGTGATTCGCAATCACAAACTATGTTGCATGCAAGCAATATATTTTTTGAAGATAAGGGATATCAGAAACCGGAAAACTTATGAAAACTACATCTTCAGCAATCCATGGATTTTACGTGTGGCCGTCAGGTCAAGTAAATGGTAAAAATTAATAAAGCGGCCTACTGACATGCCTGCCGCAGGGACAATCTAGGGTGCACGGCGGTCAGGGCAAAATCGGCTTGTTTCTACACACATGTCTGCTATTCAGTTTTAAATAATCAGTGAATAATTGGCAACAGAAAGAAATGTATTGTAAATAAGTAATGTTTATATTACTAGAAATATTTTAAATGTTTATATTGCAGCTTAAGAATGGCTAGAAGAATTTCGACTCGGCCGTCAGGGCCGCGGTAGCATAATTGGTCAGTGTATTCGCCCGGAAAGCGAAGGGTGCGGGTTCGAGTCCCGTCTGCGGCCTGGTCCGCGTGAAATTTTTTCTACTTATATTTTCTTTAGATTTAAACATCAAGCAGTTACATGCTGAAAAAATTAAAAAATAAATATAAATAATGTTTATTCCACATGTGGGGCCGGTCTTTATATACTTCATCACTCTTGTCGAAACTTCATGCTCATTATGATCTGCCGCTATCTTGATCGAAATACGTGAGCTGCCTGTGACAGCTACTAATCGACTGATTGACCACACACGGCAACGTGCAGGGCGGCAGGGACAATCTGCCGCCCTGCCGCAAGCCCGATTTAGCAAATGGCCCCTGCTTGCCTACACACATCACAATTCAGGAGGCAATTAAGGGTCATCCCTACTCTTACACCCTAGATTGTCCCTGCGGCAGGCATGTCAGTAGGCCGCTTAAAGCAGCAGTATGTTTGCTTTCAAAGCCACGGCCTGCAGCGGAAATAATCATGGAAAATGTATGTATGTACCGAGAATGAGCATTCTAGCATAATAACAGTAAGAGATCTTTCTACTAGATTAGCTTTTCTGCCTTGCTTCTCCTTTTCAACTCTGTTTTCAGCTGTATTACAGACCATGTTGAATACATTTTCACCACTTATTTACTATTTTTCACAATAAAAAAACACGTTTAAAATATTCTGTGGTTAGGGTCAAGCGTTTGCAGCGCCATCTATGTCGAGCTTTGCGTATACTTCTCCATTGGTGTGAGTGTTGGAAATATTTCTTTATTATTTATATGGCTGTACCAATTTTGCTTCCTATGATTATTTTTCTTATGTGTAAGGTAAATAAACTGTATTAGATCTTTTAGTTTGCACTTTATTCGTCCATTAATAATTATTATAAAATAAGATTTTTTGGGAGGAGAATTTTACTTTTTGTTCTACAATACTTAAGAAAACAATAAAAAAATATACAAATAACTTTTTGTTGTTGAAATAACGCAGGATATTACAGCCCATCAGTTGTGTAGATAGTATAAACAAGGAAAATAAGGAACTCATATTTTTTCCTTGTTGATACATAAAAGCTGTAAGATTTATTTTTTATCGCAGTTTCGCAAAGTTACTGTTATTGCTTATATATAATAAGCAGATTAGCATTACCTAATAATAAGTTGGTAATCTCTGAACGCATTTTTTCATTTTGTACTGTCAGCCACAGGTCAAATTACTCGAAACTGACAAAGTTCACTTACTGCCATCTATTGAGAAAAGGATCTATTCTTTTCTCCATACAACTTTGCCCAATCTTGTACCTCAAATATCATCAGGCATTTATTTCTAGAAAATACGCCGTATTCATTAAAAATAATACAATTTATAATGCACTAGTACCATATGCAAATGTCGTTTAAACATTTAAAGTAAAGCAACACAGATAATATGTCATGGTAAATGTGCATCTTTAAATTAATTAAAATCAGCTCCGGAAATTATAAAAAATAAACCTGATCGACAAAAGCTTGAAAATAAAAAAAATATTATATTGCAAACCCATCGAAATACATAATTATACGAAATAGAATTCGTTGACTAAAAGGCTGTGTATCAAGGCGATTAAATGTCAATAATATCCTTAGTAACAGCGCGACCAATGTAAAGGTGGCAAAAATTGGAACTAACGCCACCTTCTTTCTAAACGTCATATTTTGTATGTCATTTAATGTATGTCACTCAAATTCATAATAGTTATGCAACTGTTGTATATTGAACGTATTAATAGTACCATTTGAGTATTTTGATACCTAATATGATATTACATACAAGCTTAAAAGACCTATGATATGAATCCTCTATAAAAGATTTTAAAACCATGGGCCGTTCTAAGAACTGAAAATTCATCAAAAGTTTCGGCGCTGTGTTGTCATGAAACGCGCGTGAATAACCATGTTCTTTTTTTGAAATTCTTAAAGCCACACATCAAGCCAATAATATTACATATATTATACATCACTAGCACAGACAAATTCAGACAATTGTCGTAGTTTAATTAAGTCGGCTAATAGCAGCACGTGAAACAAAACAATTCCGTGTCGTGTCAGTAATATTTTTAAAATGACAAGTTATGTTTTAAGAAAGTGTAAAAACTATGGTTATAAAATAAATAGGAATGGAGCAGTTTCATACCACACGTAAGTATATAAAAGAACGTCATATTTATATTTTGGCATGGTTTTATTTCTCATTTAATAAAATTAATAAACAAATCTCGATCTTTGAAATTGACCGTTAGAAAAGGATATAGGATATGATGGCAACTGCAGTGCGATAAGGACAAAAGTATTCGTCATAGATTAATCAACCAGAATGTCATAGCGTTCGTTAGGAGCTTGATTGCGCAACGGGTGTTTTATCACTTTTTTGTTATTTAGTGAGCGACTTTCTTGCGCGAAGGACAGTGGAGTCTTATTAAAAGGGTCCCATTTTTACCTTTTGGGTACGCAACCCCAAAAATGATTTCGAACGCTGATAATGCCAGATCTGCCCTAACTGTAACGGTATCTATAATAATAATATTTATTCTCCTTTTTAAAATACAAAAATACAACAAAAGATGTTAAAATATTTATATGTACGTTCGTTAATGCAATTGCCCTTTTGTTTTTGTCGGCATAGCAATACCTCGTTTTCAAATTTCGATAATACAGGAAAGGCCCTATATAATTATAATAATAGTAGGACAAAATCACACTCAGTAATAATGTCGGCGCTTGCACCATTGCCACGTTTATTTTTGTTGCGGTCGTAAATGAGAAAAACTTATCAATAACTATCACGCCGCGTCAAGCGCAAGCGCATCAAGCGCTGTCAATGAAAATTATTGTTAATTATGATAAAGCTTACGCTTCACGGTAGGTCAAGTCAAAGCGGTAAACGATCAATATTCGGTTCAATCACGTAGACTTGACAAGTCGACTTGATCGTCTACGGTACACATTAGGTTTCCGAGTGATCAAGTCAGGCTACAGTATTAGATCACAATCGCTCATGAACTTAGAAGCGAATCAGACCGGATACTATCAAATCTGTAGCGATCACTTCAAAACTACCAACAAATATTAAAAAATGATTGTTAAATATTCAATAAATGTGATTTATATTCATAAAATGTATTATTTCTTACCAATGTAGTATGAACTTGCTTTTCAATCAAGTGTTGATTCTACAACTAATAAAGGCAACTCTATGCACCAGGAAACAATTGAAATTTTGAAGTTTGTTTGGAATACGTAACAGATTTTAAACGCAATTACTATGAACGCAACATATCTATAAATAAAATATCATTGCATCGAGCAGTGAAAATTGTGGCGGGCTTATGAGTAAACCTTTAGTGCGGAAGGGATTAGAAAAGCGAAAGAGTGTTATTATGAAATTTAGGGTGGGTGTACCAGTATCACACCGATTAAACGACATTTTGAAAGTAATTTTGATATTGTGACTCAATTATTACAACAATCATTGCAAAAAAAAATATTATGTACTCCTTGTCTACATAGAATCATATAGCTTATTCCAATTGTTTTAATAGCTGTTAGGTTTTTTTTATTCAATAATGTGGGAGGTGCAAATTGCCTAGGGTTGACCAGATTGTACCAATAATACACCGACGTTGTACCAATAATAAACCAAATAATAAGACAATTTCTTTTATTGAAGAATATATCTTTATATATATAATTCTTCTGTGAGTGTGTATGTCACTGAACTTCTCTTAAACGACTGGACCGATTTTGATGAAATTTTTTGTGTTTGTTCAAGGGGATCTGAGAATGGTTTAGATTCACAATTTTGTCCGCTGGACAACCCCTATTTTTTTAGGGTGGTACGAAGTTCGCTGGGTCAGCTAGTTTATTATAAATACTTAAATGTTTTCGGCGTAACAATCATTACAACTTTTAATCGATCTACAAGTTTCAAGTAATACTTAAATGTTACAAGGCTCATAATGTTTAACTAATTTAATAACTAGATAATTAAGAGGAGATTCATATGACTTACACAAGTGTCGTAATAATGACTTGCAATTAAATGTTTATGTATTACCGTGATTAAGAAAATATAAAATAAATCAAAATAATTATAAAAAAAATTGATTTAAAATTTTGCCTTAAATTTATCCATTTCAGGAAATCTATAAAAAACTCGACTATTAGCCAATGTTGGAACTGCGATCTTCTCTTCTATTGCATCTTTCCGGTACCAGATTTTATCATATTGTTCTGGCCAACGGAAAGTATGACCGTAGTGTGTGTATATTATATTTTCGGCACGTTTCTCTAACCTTTACACCTATACTTATTTCGTCAATCGCTTTCAACACTTCGTCCTTATAGTTAAAAAACGTTCTTTATGCGGCATTATATCTATAATAAAATATAGCTGGTCGATTACTGGAAAAATCATGGTATAGATATTACCAGTAATAAATCACTGGTCTACAACTAGATATTTTATTAGTGTTTTATTATATTTTATTGTAGCATATCAACTGAATGCAAATGTAAAAGAAAAAAAATCAAATTATCAAAAATCTAAATCACCAGTTGTAGACCAAATAGAATATACTGGAAAATCATGAAATTCGTGTTTTATTAGTTTACCAACGACCACTATCGACTTAAATCGGCATTTTCAAATGAAATAAGACGTTACATTATTGCTTCACACAACATATTATGCAGTTAATTGAAAAATAAGTTGTAGTGAATGATATAAACAAAGATTTAAAAAGATTATCAAAACTTACCGTTGACGTGTCGCTTGCTAAAATGACCGCCCGAAACGAAGTGAACGAATGTAGTTCCAAATCATGCGTTTTTTACTGATGTAGATGGAGTGTTTATCGCTTTTATTTATGATTTTAAGATATATAGCTGTACAGCAGTGCTATCAATAGTAAAAAAGTGGCGGACAATTCGAAGGAAGGTTAATATTTTTAAGTGAACTTAGAAATAGTGTACTACTGGTGCTTGGTGTGGCACGGGTGCACCCACCCTATTTAAAAAAAAAACATTATAAAACAGAAACGGATGTTATAATGGTTTTGTTTTTAATGGTGAAATTGGATGTTTTAATGTTGGCTATAAGTTCTTTCAGAAAAATAGAACCTACTTTCCGCACTTGCATGAAAAATAACTATTGTCGCTGTATAATGTGACGAAGTCACATGGTTTTTGACACAACGGACAACCAATCACAATCAAGAGATGAATTTTATACCAATAGTATTAGGTGTCAGTTAATGACAATTGCGTCTAGGCAGTATATAAGGTACAAAATTGGGCAGAAATCGAAGGTCTTCTTTACAGTTTGTAGTAACTTCATTTGTAGTTGTGTTAGCATGTTTTTAAAAATTCACTTTATAAAGATCTTACCATACAACCTAATCGTTCCCTCGGCTTTTCCAATGGTGTTTGTAGAAACACAAGTGTAAGTGCCGGAATCTTCGGTGACGAAGTCTGTTATAGTAAGTGCCATTCGCGTTTGATATGCAAAAAGACGTTCCTCTGATAAATCGTACTTTTCCCTGCAACAAAATGGGCATCATTTAAAAAGATTTCAGTTTGGTACTTCAAAAGTTCTTCTCATGAATTATACGATCAAAAGGTCTATTTTCTCTTCCTAAAAGAAGTTTGTATAAAACGGTATTATTAGTTTTTTAATTGTAAAAATTCGTTTACATTATTTACTGCAAGCAAAACTTATTTGTAATTAAAACTTCATAGAAAAAGAACTTTCTAATATACTTTTTGTCTGTGGTTGAGTTTTTTTTTTCGTAAAATCACAACTAGTAACTATAAATACAATTAAAATGACCAATGTTACAATAATTTAATTGCCATAACATACAAAGAACAAAATAACCAAATAAAAAAGCCAAAAAAAATGTATTTTTTCTCTAGCCGTTACTTGTGACTTTGCGGGGATAGATTTCAAAATTCCCAGGAAACCTTTCATTGTACCAAATACACGTATAACAAGTTATAAAATCCTTTGCTTATAGATTTGACAACAATATGTAAAATGTCGTTTTTAACAGTTGCAACAAGCGGTTATATCGCTTAAATTTTAGCACGAAATTAATAAACCTGATATGTATGAGAAATTTGTCCAAATAATAAAGAAATCACTAAAGAGCATGGAAAACAATAAGAAAAATTTACACGAGAAATTACGTACAATAATGATACACATACGAAGTACACCTACTGCTACGGGACAAACCCCGTATTAACTGATGTTCAAGCGCGATATAAGGGCTAAATTTCATGTTATGTTCCAGAAAATCTGTCATGCATCTCACTCTTCAACATATACTGAAATCAAAAGTTTCTCTCCAGGAGACAAGGTGCAAGTCCGTATATATGGTAATACATCAAATAAATGGGAATTTGGCAAAGTCGTACGCCGGGTAGATCAACTGCATTATTAGGAAACCACTGAAAGTCGAGGGGTAGTGCATCGCCACGTGGACCAGATGCTCCACTACAGGGCAGTATCCTTGAAGGAACCACCTTCTTCCTCAGGAATCGCGGCGGACGGCTTACATGTCTGTGTCGTTATCATGAGCAACGACTCGAGTCATTATATAAATAAACGATCAAATTATTCAATTCATATTTCTGTTACATAGAATATTTATAAAAACCTGTGACGTAATCAAGTATCAAATCAATATTTTTAAAATTTGACACGCAAAGAGAGGTAAGGCACAGCGGACTTTCCGCTCGAATTCTAGCGCCGGTCTGGAGAAGTAACCTGCATCATTCAGAAGACCACAGTAAAATAATACTACATTTTGGTGGTATTGTGTTTCTGCTGGTGAGTAGGGTTCCAGGGCTCCGCGGGGTAGGGGATTGGGTTAAGGACGGCAAGATGAGGATGGTTGAAGCGCCACACCTTCTGCCACATCATTTATCTTCGTGACTTGACTACACTTACACCTAAGTAAGTTGTTTAAGTGTTAACTTAAGTTAAGTGGGATGATTGGTTGCGCCTTGTATTAAAAAAGTTAAGCATTGATAAAAGCAGAATACTCACCCAGCAAGGATCATTTCTTCGCCACCTTTCAGCCAGTAGTTTATAGACTGTGGGTAAGCCTCAATGTAACATTCCAGCCTGGTGTGTGATCCAGTGGGGACACCTATTACCTTCGTCGACACTACTATCGACGGTTGAACTGTGAAAAGTTAACAAATGATATTCTTTCTAAAAAAATAAGAACTTATGTTTATTATATTTACTAAAAGCATTTAACTGCCAGATGTTAAAATCTAAAGAAAATTTTAATAGTAAAAAATTCACGCGGTCTAAGCAGCAGACGGGGCTGGAACTCAGACCCTCCGCTATCCGGGCGAATGCCCTTATTCCCTTGGTTTTGTACACAAACACTGTTGAGTATTGTTTATACCCTTATTGTATCACAATTATGTATTGTATGTAAAAACAATAATGATTTTTTAGATTAACAAATACATATATTCTTTGCAAAGATTACGCATAGACACGTTAGAGTGGAGGACGTGCTAGTGATGTGTGCATATGTAGGGATGTACCTGTGACAATTTGTAATAGTAGATTATGCACCAAGGGGATAAAGCAGTGTCTTACGTCGCGGGCAGCATATTGGACCCTGAGCGTAACGAGGGACTCTAGAAGCGAGGGGACCAAAATGCTGCTCGTGAGATTCACATTCCAAAATGAGGATCAGTCTTAAGTTCCTGAATCTTTAAGTACTGCTCAAATAAACTCCACAACAACTTCCATGAATGTTCCTAATAAAAATATTACTCTGTCCCTCTATAACTGGACAAATGTGTCCAATATGTTTTATTTATGTAGCCCTGGGTTTTTATTGCCTCGCAGTAGATATGAAAAGTAGAGTATGCACCACTGGGATAAAGCCTGTCTTACGTCACGGGCAGCATATTGGACCCCTCGCTTCACTAAGGACTCTATATAAGTTTTGACTCCCTCGTTACGCTCAAGGTGCAGTATGCTGCCCGTGACGTAAGACACTGCTTTATCCCCTTGGTGTATAATCTACTATTTTCATCTCGAGATCCTCCATACTTTGGAAGGCATGTTGAGCTGTGTTGTTAGTCTCGTCTGGGTCAGCAATTAGGAGCACTAACCACAGCAAAGCAAAGAGTCACACGGAAGGTCTGTGCCCCACCTCAGTAATCATCACCAGCCTAGTAATGTCCCAAATGCTGGGGCACAGGCCTTTCCTATGGATGAAATAGGGAGTAAAGGCCATGACCCACCACGCAGGCCTGGTGTGGATTGGTGCTAAGGTCTGACTATCCTCCCTTTCTCAATAATAGGCTGATGATTATAATTAAGCAAATCTATTTTCCTATCTAACCTCTGTTTAGAAAAAAACAGTACTACTACCGTTGCACTAACAAATTGGTCTATTTGCTATAGTCTTTTTTTATAAAATTAAATAATTGTTATAATTAATTAATACTCTAAAGAAAATATAACTAGAAAAAATTCCACGCGGACCAGGCAGCAGACGGGACTCGAACCCGCACCCTTCGCAATCCGGGCGAATGCACTGACCAATTATGCTACCGCGGCCCTCACGGACCGCGTCGAAATTCTTTCTAGCTATTCTTAAGCTGCAAGGCAGCGCCATCTCTTCGCATTATAGGTAAACCCACAATGTCAAATGAATACTTTTACAAGTATTAAACATTTGAAAGAAGAAATAGCAATTATAGTTATAATTTTTATTATTTTTAAAGCATGTAACTGCTTGATGTTTAAATCTAAAGAAAATATAACTAGAAAAACTAGAAAAAATTCCACGCGGACCAGGCAGCAGACGGGACTCGAACCCGCACCCTTCGCAATCCGGGCGAATGCACTGACCAATTATGCTACCGCGGCCCTCACGGTCCGCGTCGAAATTGTCATTGTGGGTTTACCTATAATGCGAAGAGATGGCGCTGCCTTGCAGCTTAAGAATAGCTAGAAAGAATTTCGACGCGGTCCGTGAGGGCCGCGGTAGCATAATTGGTCAGTGCATTCGCCCGGATTGCGAAGGGTGCGGGTTCGAGTCCCGTCTGCTGCCTGGTCCGCGTGGAATTTTTTCTAGTTATATTTTCTTTAGATTTAAACATCAAGCAGTTACATGCTTTAAAAATAATAAAAATTATAACTATAATTGCTATTTCTTCTTTCAAATGTTTAATACTTGTAAAAGTATTCATTTGACATTGTGGGTTTACCTATAATGCGAAGAGATGGCGCTGCCTTGCAGCTTAAGAATAGCTAGAAAGAATTTCGACGCGGTCCGTGAGGGCCGCGGTAGCATAATTGGTCAGTGCATTCGCCCGGATTGCGAAGGGTGCGGGTTCGAGTCCCGTCTGCTGCCTGGTCCGCGTGGAATTTTTTCTAGTTATATTTTCTTTAGATTTAAACATCAAGCAGTTACATGCTTTAAAAATAATAAAAATTATAATTAATACTCGTTTTTAAAGAATTACTTTGTTTCTAAGTAACCAAGTCATTATTTGGCACTTTAATCACTTTTACTTAATAAAAGGACGGTTGGATTTTGAAAAGACCATATTGGATCGCAATAGTGATTCGCTTAGAATGATCGGCATTTTCTCGAATATCCAAAGACACGGCGATAACTTTTCGAACATAGGAAAACATAAAAAAACTAAATGTATAAAATGTTTACTCACAACACCCAACGCGATCCAGGCAGTTTTTCTAGTATAATTTTCTTTAGATGTAAAAATCTAGCAGTGAAATGATTAAAAATAAATCATGTGCTTACAGTTAACACTGAGCATGATGCGTTTGCTGACAGACGGTGGTACGTCGTTGGAAGCGATGCAGAGGTACGCTCCCATCTGCCGTCTCTCCACTTTCGTAAGGTTCAAATTCTGCCCCATAAACATGTCCACTGTGTGAAAAGAAAACTTTCATGAGCATAACTAAAGATACTCTTCAGCTAAAATATATCGGTTTTTGCAGGTAAACAACAATGCTATTAGTTAAAACGAGTTTAAAAAGTTGTATTGTGTGTTAATTAAATTTAGTGTAATTCAAAGTAACAATAAATGTTCACGCGCGAAACAGGTGCCTCGTGGACGTCGAGTTGTAGAGAGACGTACGTAGCACAGAAAAAGAAGTAACATGTTATTTTATTTTATTGCTCTGTAAATTTTGAGCAACCTGAGAAACTTTACTTTCAAATTCAGACAACAATTAATGTTATATTAAAGAAATATTTAATTATTTCTTCGAAAAATGTCTCCAAGTATACTCACAAATTATTCACTGATTACGCTGCCACCACATACATATTATTGTAGTATCATGAAAGATTAATTATACGTGATCTCTTACTGATTTATTATTATGGAGATAATCACACTAATATTATAAAGGCGAAAGTTTGTGTGTGTGTGAGTGTGTATGTTTGTTACTTCTTAACGTCTAAAAGGCTGGAGCGATTTTAATAAAATTTGGTATGGAGTTAGCTGCCACACTGGATGAACACATAGGGTTACTGTTAATACACAAATTATTTTCCCTAATAAACCGCGGGGCACAGCTAGTTATTTATATACCTATAAATTGAATATAAAATTAATATAAGTGCTCAAGATAGAAAGCTTGTAAAGAAGTTTTATATCAGGTTTCTGCGTTATATTGCGACAAGCCATTTTTCTTCGGTGTGACAGATGTATCAACGATGTGACAGTGAAATAAATATTCATCAGATGGGTAATATCCATGTAATATCACTCCTACAACTAGGCGCAGCAACTCCACATTTAGAACTATGTAGTTTGTGTGCAGGGGAATATCTCCTAACAAAAAATGGCAGAATGATATCCGTGTTGTTCTATGATTATTGTTAGTAGACTGCCTACACTACAATCCTTTTAGGCGGTCTATACAGCGGTGGGTATCATCACTGTTATGAATATAGGCCAAGTCCACAAGTCAATAGTTTTGATAAGAGAGGTCAGGCCCCGAAGCGGAGCGCCAGTCTAGGAAAGTAACCTTCAAATTATAGAAATTCCTTCCTTGGTGGTGTTGTGTTTTTGTCGGCGGCAAAGAGCTCTACGCTCTAACCATCTTGCTGTAACATGTAAAAGAGATCTTGTAATAACGTGTAAAGCGGTGTCCCGCATGCTGGATCTAGCAAGATGGTTAGTGCGTAGAGTTTGCACGTTGCTTAAGGTTTCCATAGCTTCATGGTTAAGGCCGAAAATAGTCGTGAATCACGAAAGAGAGCAGTTCAAGGCAGGCAGTGCGTGACTGATTCTTTCGTACTGCAATTGCCTATAGGCTATGGCTTATTATCGAGCAGACCACAACGGTTGTTTGCCGATATTTTGACTTAAAAAAACATTTGACTCTACTGCAAAACAACAAATAATGCCGAAGTAAAAGCATACTTTATACATTATGAGTCTGTTAGAAAAGAGTAATTCGCTGCTTTTGGTTTCGTAATAATTCCAAAAAAAAACGAGACAGAGGCTGGAGGAAAAAGAATCATTGCTTAAAATAAAATTGAGTTCGGTAAGCCGAAGCTGTCAAGAGCGTTCGTAAAAGAAACACCCTTTTCCCCCAATTTCGCATCTTACTTTGTGGAAAACAATTATTTAATGAATATTCATAGAAGACAGCTCCAACACTAACCTCGGCGAAATTACGGTTCAAAAATAAATTTCGCCGAAAGAAATGTAAAGCACTTGTATTCATTTCTTTTGTAGCTCGAATTGCTGTTATGTTTTTCATTAAAATTTTATTTCTATAGTAGTGGGTGCCTGCAACTTGGTCTGCGTGGACACATTGGTATACAAACTTTGAACCACCGATTTACTCATTTAGGGGGTGAGTTTTGGAAAATCAACGATATTAATATCATTGTGGAATATCCTTTCTTAGCGCACTCTTACATCATAATAGCTATATGCCTAATTTTAAGGCTGGCTTTCGAAGCGAGCGTCAGTTACGCCGCGACAGAGCGTCAGATAGAATTTCTGTGCAAATGACATTGTCAGTGCCGCTTTGACCGACGATGACAATGATATTTGCATAGAAATTTCATCTGACGCTCTGTCGCGGCGTAACTGACGCTCGCTACGAAAGCCCACCCTCAGACAGACAGACAACAAAATGATCTTATAAGTGTTCCGGTTTTGTTTTATTTTAGGCAAGGAACCCTAAAAACATTGAATTGTTCACAGGAGGTGAGTATTTCATACTCTCATAGCAAAGGTATTGTGTTTTTATATTTTTTATAAAGGCTGGTAAACAAATATGATTTGTATTGTTTTAAACTTTCATGGTCACTGACATTATAGTAATATAAGTTATTTACGGGATTGTTACCATGTACCTTGTTTTTAGCGAGTTTCCGATATTACGTCATTCATCAGTCTATTTACAAAAAATTGGCACAACATATAATAATTCTCCTTTCAAGCCAGCGCTTTCTGAAAACTCAACGTTGAATAAAAATAAAACAATTATATTCTCAGACAAGTTAGGTCAGGGGCTAGGACTATTAGTAAAAAATTACAGCGAGGAAAATATTATAAATATATGTACTCCTGGAAAATCATTTAATGACATTGTTAATAATTTGACCTACCATAATGTGGATAGTTATACGAACCTCTTGTTTTTGTGTGGTGACAGTTCCAAATTATCAATACGGGACATTACAAAAAGTATTGAGCACTTATTAAAAATACAATCTAAATCAAATTGTAAAATAATAATTAGCGCTTTCCCATATGCACATAACTTATCTAGGGAACAGAACAAGCGCATCTTTAATTTAAATTTAAGTATTTATAATTTAATTAATAGTCATAGTGACGTATGTTTATATTTTGATATAAATAAATATATTAGATATTTTAAGTTGACTACAGATACTATGTATCTCGCAAAGAGATTTAGGACCCAGATAGCTAATTTGTTAGCTTTTAATATACAAAATACGGTTATACATAGTATAACTAACCCTATTCAACAAAATAGTGTTAGTATTTCTAGTAAAAGAAATATTAACTCTATTAACAATTTAACCAGCCCAGTTTTAAACTGAGCTTAAAGACAACAGCCAAACCTAATAAAAGCATTATTAATATTATTCATCAAAATATACAAGGTTTGGCTGGCAAAGACCTAGAATTAGAATTGTATTTGAAAAGTGAGGACATACACATTATATGTTTAACGGAACACTGGCTCAAGCTTTGTGAAATGTCTTATCACATAAACAATTTTCAGTTGTTGAGTGCTTATGTTCGAAAGACAGCCATACACGGCGGCTCATTGATTTTTGTCAACAAAAATATTAGATGTAAGGATAGAAAGGATATAGCTGGCCTTTCAATTGAACGTAGCATTGAGCTATCTTGTGTGGAACTAAATAAGATGATAATAGTATGCGTATACCGACCCCCTGTAGGTAACTTTAACATTTTTGAATCTGTAATGGAGGATGTACTGAAAAAGTTAAAGTCAAAAAATAAGTTTTTGGTTGTTTGCGGTGACTTTAATATTAATATTCTTGAACAAAATTCAATGTCAGTACGTATAATATCACTATTTAAATGTTTTAATTTGATCCATCAATTTTTTGAGCCGACTAGGGTGACATCACATTCGGCAACTTGTTTGGATAATGTATTTACAGATAGTACTCCTGATAGTAAGTCTATTTTTAATAGTATTACATCTGACCATTATGGCTTAAAAATACAATATAAAATAGATGTAAAAAATGAAACCAAAGTAATTGAATTGAGACCAGTAACAGAAAACAGGTTAGAAAATTTTCAAAAAAACATTGGTGATAGGATTTCTCATATCCCATGGACACATGATGATCCTGATATTCTTTTTGGGGATCTTTTTAATCTAATAAGGAATGAATTCGATAAGACTTTTCCCTTAAAAACTTCGAAACTTACTCAGAAGTTACAGTTCTGTGATTGGGCTACGACTGGTATCTATAAAAGTAGAAACAAACTTTATGAATTGTATCATCTGAGAAAATATAATCATTCACAAAGTTTTATTGATTACGTTAAATGTTATTCTAAAACCTTCAAAAAGGTATGTGCAACAGCCAAATCTAATTTTATTAAAAATAAAATATGTAAATCGAATAATAAAATCAAAACAACGTGGAATGTTATAAATCGTGAAACAGGCAAAGAAAGGCCATGTGACGATATTATTGAAATTAAGTCCAATAATATTCTAATAAAATCTAAGGAACATATCGCTAATATTTTTGATGATTATTTCGTTAATGTTCCTTTGGTGGCTACATCTAATTTGAGCTCTTCAACGGTGGCTGCCAAGACATTGCTCGAGAAATATGTACCTAAGTATGATAACGTGTTTCAGTTTAGACATATTAGTTTTATTGATGTTATTAAGTGTTTTAAATCTCTTAAACAAAAAAATACAAGTGATTTATGGGGTATTTCTACTAAAGTTATTAAAAGTATAATACCCGTTATTGCCCCTTATCTAGTTGATATATTTAATAACTGTATTGATCAAGGCGTATTTCCGGATTTGATGAAATACAGTAAAGTTATACCTCTTTTTAAATCAGGAAATAGAAGTGAACCTGGAAATTATAGGCCTATATCAATATTACCGGTTCTAAGTAAAATATTTGAGAAAATTATTCTGGAACAATTAATGCCTCATTTCAACCTAAATAAACTTTTGCATAGGAAACAATTTGGTTTTACCAGAGGTAGATCTACTACTGACGCGGGTGTTGCACTTGTAAGGAGTATATTGGAGGCTTGGGAGAGGTCGCAGAATGTTCTTGGAGTGTTCTGTGACTTATCCAAAGCTTTTGATTGCGTTGATCATCACACGCTGTTATTGAAATTAAGTCATTATGGA